TTTCCTTGCTAGCTGACAGCTGAAGCTAACTTAATTAATTTAATTTTAATTTAGTAGCTAGGTAGCTATCTAGCTAAGTGGTTAGCTTCTTCCAAAGTCAATCTTGGCTTGCTAACAGCAGAGGAGACCCTCCTGGATGAAGAGCCTTGCTATCAGCAGAGGATACCCTCCTGGATGAAGAGCCTTGCTATCAGCAGAGGATACCCTCCTGGATCAAGAGCCTTGTTATCAGCAGAGGATACCCTCCTGGATGAAGAGCCTTGCTATCAGCAGAGGATACCCTCTGGATGAAGAGCCTGCTATCAGCAGAGGTCCCTCCTGGATCAAGAGCTTTTTATCAGCAGAGGAACCCTCCTGGATAAGACCTTGCTATCAGCAGGGATACCCTCCTGGATCAAGAGCCTTGCTAACAGCAGAGGATCCCCTCCGGGATCAAGAGCCTTGCTATCAGCAGAGGAACCCTCCTGGATGAAGAGCCTTGCTATCAGCAGAGGATACCCTCCTGGATCAAGAGCCTTGCACAGCAGAGGAACCCTCCTGGATCAAGAGCCTTGCTACAGCAGAGGATACCCTCCTGGATCAAGAGCCTTGCATCAGCAGAGGATACCCTCCTGGATCAAGAGCCTTGCTATCAGCAGAGAAACCCCTCCTGGATCAAGAGCCTTGCTAACAGCAGAGAAACTCCTCCTGGATGAAGAGCCTTGCTATCAGCAGAGGATACCCTCCTGGATCAAGAGCCTTGCTATCAGCAGAGGATACCCTCCTGGATCAAGAGCCTTGCTAACAGCAGAGTATACCCTCCTGGATGAAGAGCCTTGCTAACAGCAGAAAACCCCTCCTGGATCAAGAGCCTTGCTATCAGCAGAGGATACCCTCCTGGATCAAGAGCCTTGCTAGCAGCAGAGGATACCCTCCTGGATCAAGAGCCTTGCTAACAGCAGAGGATACCCTCCTGGATCAAGAGCCTTGCTAACAGCAGAGGATACCCTCCTGGATGAAGAGCCTTGCTATCAGCAGAGGATACCCTCCTGGATGAAGAGCCTTGCTATCAGCAGAGGATACCCTCCTGGATGAAGAGCCTTGCTATCAGCAGAGGATACCCTCCTGGATGAAGAGCCTTGCTATCAGCAGAGGATACCCTCCTGGATCAAGAGCCTTGCTATCAGCAGAGGATACCCTCCTGGATCAAGAGCCTTGCTAACAGCAGAGAATACCCTCCTGGATCGTGCTAATATTTGTATTGTGCGTGCAGCAAACTGTGAGTAGCATTTTTTAGTTACTTGTATAGTTTAGGTCAGAGACTGTATAAAATGTTCCCAAATGCGCTCGCATTCGGATTACACTTAGACCTATGACTTCAGTGCGTTCAAGACAACTGGGAACTCGGTGATCTCAGACTTGTGACTTCAGTGCGTTCAAGACAACTGGGAACTCGGTGATCTCAGACTTGTGACTTCAGTGCGTTCAAGACAACTGGGAACTGGGGGGACAAACGAGCTCTGACTGGGGAGAAATCGTTTTGAATGTTCATCCAACTCAGAATTCCAACTAGGGAACTCCTGGGCCTCTTTCTAGAGCTCTGAATTTCCGACCTGAAGATCACATGATTTGACCTGGTGTTTTTCAGAGTTCCCGGTTGTCTTGAAAGCACCACAAGATGCTGCAGCAGCAGCAGGTTTCATGCTGTCTGACAGGTTTTCCGCTCCAAGTCTCTGTATCTGTATGCTGTACGGTGATAAATTAAGATACATAACGAATATACTGTGATGCACGCACCAACTTAATTCCACTAAATTATGCAAATTAACCTATAGACCGATAAGCAAATATATTTACATCCACTGGTATTTACATCCATTAATAGGCTAGAAGTCTGTATTTCGCAATGTTATATATATTTTATTTTAGGACAATTTGCCTGCTTTTATTTATAGACAAAAAAAATATTACAATCTGCCAAAAGCTGGCTATTACCAGCTAACGGAAACCCTGACCCACACACACATTATGTTATTCTATCCTCGTGGGGACCAAAACATTTATTTCCATTCAAAATCCTATTTCCCTAACCCTAAATCTAACCCTAACCCTAAATCTAACCCTAAGCCTAATTGTAACCCTTACCCCTAAGCTTAAAAATAGCCTTTGTCCTCATGGGGACGTGGGAAATGTCCCCACCAGGGAGAATCTTCCTTGTTTTACTATCCTCGTGGGGATTTTAGGTCCCAACAAGGATTGAAGAACCAACAGAAAACAAAATGAAAACAAGCGTTTCTTAATGGACTAGTTCTGATTGCTTCCATGATTTCGTTACCAGTGAATAGGCCTAAACCCTACTTGATATAGGCTGGCTGGGACATCCTTGAATTGCGTGCGCTTGAATGTGTTAATGGATTTAAATCTAATCAATTGATGGATCATAACAGCTACTTGGTTAGTTAGTTAATTGATTGGCTGATTGATTGATTGGTTAATTAACAACCCCGGTGGGTTGTGTTCTTCTGCCAGGAACATCTCTGATGCCCAGAACTACCGTCCTGTAGAGGATCTGTTCCGTATTCACCTATCTGAGAAGAAACGAGCCCGCAGGATCCTAGAGCAGGTAACTCCCTCACACTACACGGGGCCCCCTGCAGCTCAGTGGGTAGAGCATGGGTGGAGGAGGCATGGGGGCCCCCTGCAGCTCAGTGGGTAGAGCATGGGTGGAGGAGGCATGGGGGCCCCCTGTAGCTCAGTGGGTAGAGCATGGGTGGAGGAGGCATGGGGGCCCCCTGTAGCTCAGTGGGTAGAGCATGGGTGGAGGAGGCATGGGGGCCCCCTGCAGCTCAGTGGGTAGAGCATGGGTGGAGGAGGCATGGGGGCCCCCTGTAGCTCAGTGGGTAGAGCATGGGTGGAGGAGGCATGGGGGCCCCCTGTAGCTCAGTGGGTAGAGCATGGGTGGAGGAGGCATGGGGGCCCCCTGTAGCTCAGTGGGTAGAGCATGGGTGGAGGAGGCATGGGGGCCCCCTGTAGCTCAGTGGGTAGAGCATGGGTGGAGGAGGCATGGGGGCCCCCTGTAGCTCAGTGGGTAGAGCATGGGTGGAGGAGGCATGGGGGCCCCCTGTAGCTCAGTGGGTAGAGCATGGGTGGAGGAGGCATGGGGGCCCCCTGTAGCTCAGTGGGTAGAGCATGGCGCTTGCAATGCCAGGGTTGTGGGTTCGTTTCCCACGGGGGGCCGGTATGAAAAATGTATGCACTCACTTAACTGTAAGTCGCTCTGGATAAGAGCGTCTGCTAAATGACTAAAATGTAAATGTCCTTGTCCTGTACTATTCTAGGTATGTTATGTCGTAATGTATTCTAGGTGTGTTATGTCATAATGTATTCTAGGTGTGTTATGTCATAATGTATTCTAGGTGTGTTATGTCATAATGTATTCTAGGTGTGTTATGTCATAATGTATTCTAGATGTGTTATGTCATAATGTATTCTAGGTGTGTTATGTCATAATGTATTCTAGGTGTGTTATGTCATAATGTATTCTAGGTGTGTAAGGTCATAATGTATTCTAGGTGTGTTATGTCATAATGTATTCTAGGTGTGTTATGTCATAATGTATTCTAGGTGTGTTATGTCATAATGTATTCTAGGTGTGTAAGGTCATAATGTATTCTAGGTGTGTTATGTCATAATGTATTCTAGGTGTGTTATGTCATAATGTATTCTAGGTGTGTAAGGTCGGCTGCAAGGCGCCAGTAGCCATGATCTCTTCCTGTGGGATGATCCCAGGGAACCCTTACCCTAAAGGCAAACCCAGCCAGACCACTGGCACCTTCCCTGTAAGTAATATAACCTAACCTGTGTGTGTGTGTGTGTGTGTGTGTGTGTGTGCAACATGTAAAGTGTTGATCCCATGTTTCATGAGCTGAAATAAAAGATCCCAGAATTTTTCCATAGGCACAAAAAGCTTATTTCTCTCAAATTCTGTGCACAAATTTGTTTACATCCCTGTTATTTAGCATTTGTCCTTTGCCAAGATAATCCATCCACCTGACAGGTGTGGCATATCAAGAAGCTGATTAAACCGCATGATCATTACACAGGTGCACCTTGTGCTGGGGACAATAAAAGGCCACTCTAAAACGTGCAGTTTTGTCACACAACACAATGCCACAGATGTCTCAAGTTTTGAGGGAGCGTGCAATTGGCATGCTGACTGCAGGAATGTCCACCAGTGCTGTTTCCAGATAATTGAATGTTCATTTCTCTACCATAAGCCGTCTCCAAAATCATTTTAGAGAATTTGGCAGTACATCCAACCGGCCTCACAACCGCAGACATTTGTAACCACGCCAGCCCAGGACCACATCCGGCTTCTTCACCTGTGGGATCGTCTGAGACCAGATAATGCATGGGGCCGTGCATTATCATGCTGAAACATGAGGTGATGGCGGCGGATGAATGGCACGACAATGGGCCTCAGGATCTCGTCACGGACAGCTGATGAAACTGTGGGTTTGCACAACCAAAGAATTTCTGCACAAACTGTCAGAAACCATCTCAGGGAAGCTCATCTGCGTGCTCGTCATCCTCACCAGGGTCTTGACCTGACTGCAGTTCCGCGTCGTAACCGACTTCATTGGGCAAATGCTCACCTTCGATGGCCACTGGCACGCTGGAGAAGTATGCTCTTCACAGATTAATCCCGGTTTCAACTGTACCGGGCAGACGTGGGCGAGCAATTTTCTGATGTCAACGTTGTGAACGAACAGAATTGCATTTAATTGATGGCAATTTAAATGCACAGAAATACTATGACGAGATCCTGAGGCCCATTGTCGTGCCATTCATCCGCCGCCATCACCTCATGTTTCAGCATGATAATGCACGGCCCCATGTCACAAGGATCTGTACACAATTCCTGGAAGCTGAAAATGTTCAAGTTCTTCCATGGCCTGCATACTCACTAGACATGTCACCCAGTGATCATGTTTGGGATGCTCTGGATCGACGTGTACGACAGCGTGTTCCAGTTCCCGCCAATATCCAGCAACTTCACACAGCCATTGAAGAGGAGTGGGACAACATTCCACAGGCCACAATCAACAGCCTGATCAACTCTATGTGAAGGAGATGTGTCGCGCTGCATGAGGTGGTCACACCAGATACTGACTGGTTTTCTGATCCATGCCCCTACTTTTTTTTTAAAGGTATCTGTGACCAACAGATGCATATCTGTAATCCCGGCCAAGTGAAATTCATAGATTAGGGCCTAATGAATTTATTTCAATTGATCTTCATAGGCGTGTGTGTGTGTGTGTGTGTTTGTGTTTGTGTGTGTGTGTGTGTGTGTGTGTGTGTGTACTCAATAACATTGACTAAAATGAAACTGACAACCATTGACAGTAAGGCCAGACAAACTTGATTTAAAGCGCTTTTCAGACACCCACCGGAATATCGCGTTTCCCCACTTGTCCCTCACACACGAGGGCCATAGCTGCCGGTGACCATAGCCACGAAATAAAATAACATTATCACATGCGAAAAGTGAATCGCTTTAACACCCATAAGCATGCATAAAAAATGTATTTACGTGCAACATAAATGATTCATCCCAAAATAGATTGGAAAACAATTATTTGTCATTGTTAAACGTGACGGTAAACTGAGTGTTAGCCAACCAGCCAGCTAGCAAGAGTGGGCAAGTTAGCTGGTCCTAGGGTTGCCAGGTCAAGCAAACAATTCTAGCCCAATGACCAGTCAAAACCTGCCCAAAAGGCCTGAAAACTAGCCCAATTTGTTTTTTTGCACAGCAAGAGAGGAGTTGTCATATTTATACGATAAACCCTTTGTCCATAACGTTATCGAGCCAATTAAGAAGGAATACCTAACTTGCAATAACGTTAGAAGCAAAATTCAGGTTTCCTCAAAATAATAATTATTGCAAGCTATGACATGATGTAATCTCGCCAGATCATTTTCCATCAATGGACGTCGATTTAACTTGTTTGACTGCTATGATTTAAGCAATAAGGCACAAGGGGGTGTGGTATATGGCCAATATACCACAGCTAAGGGCTGTTCTTAAGCATGACATATCGCGGAATCGTTAGCCGTGGTATACAGTGGGGAAAAAAAGTATTTAGTCAGCCACCAATTGTGCATGTTCTCCAACTTAAAAAGATGAGAGAGGCCTGTAATTTTCATCATAGGTACACGTCAACTATGACAGACAAAATGAGGGAAAAAAATCCAGAAAATCACATTGTAGGATTTTTTATGAATTTATTTGCAAATTATGGTGGAAAATAAGTATTTGGTCAATAACAAAAGTTTCTCAATACTTTGTTATATACCCTTTGTTGGCAATGACACAGGTCAAACGTTTTCTGTAAGTCTTCACAAGGTTTTCACACACTTGCTGGTATTTTGGCCCATTCCTCCATGCAGATCTCCTCTAGAGCAGTGATGTTTTGGGGCTGTCGCTGGGCAACACAGACTTTCAACTCCCTCCAAAGATTTTCTATGGGGTTGAGATCTGGAGACTGGCTAGGCCACTCCAGGACCTTGAAATGCTTCTTACGAAGCCACTCCTTCGTTGCCCGGGCGGTGTGTTTGGGATCATTGTCATGCTGAAAGACCCTGCCACGTTTCATCTTCAATGCCCTTGCTGATGGAAGGAGGTTTTCACTCAAAATCTCACGATACATGGCCCCATTCATTCTTTCCTTTACACGGATCAGTCGTCCTGGTCCCTTTGCAGAAAAACAGCCCCAAAGCATGATGTTTCCACCCCCATGCTTCACAGTAGGTATGGTGTTCTTTGGATGCAACTCAGCATTCTTTGTCCTCCAAACATGACGAGATGAGTTTATACCAAAAAGTTATATTTTGGTGTCATCTGACCATATGACATTCTCCCAATCCTCTTCTGGATCATCCAAATGCACTCTAGCAAACTTCAGACGGGCCTGGACATGTACTGGCTTAAGCAGGGGGACACGTCTGGCAATGCAGGATTTGAGTCCCTGGCGGCGTAGTGTGTTACTGATGGTAGGCTTTGTTACTTTGTTCCCAGCTCTCTGCAGGTCATTCACTAGGTCCCCCCGTGTGGTTCTGGGATTTTTGCTCACCGTTCTTGTTATCATTTTGACCCCACGGGGTGAGATCTTGCGTGGAGCCCCAGATCAAGGGAGATTATCAGTGGTCTTGTATGTCTTCCATTTCCTAATAATTGCTCCCACAGTTGATTTCTTCAAACCAAGCTGCTTACCTATTGCAGATTCAGTCTTCCCAGCCTGGTGCAGGTCTACAATTTTGTTTCTGGTGTCCTTTGACAGCTCTTTGGTCTTGGCCATAGTAGAGTTTGGAGTGTGACTGTTTGAGGTTGTGGACAGGTGTCTTTTATACTGATAACAAGTTCAAACAGGTGTCATTAATACAGGTAACGAGTGGAGGACAGAGGAGCCTCTTAAAGAAGAAGTTACAGGTCTGTGAGAGCCAGAAATCTTGCTTGTTTGTAGGTGACCAAATACTTATTTTCCACCATAATTTGCAAATAAATTCATTAAAAATCCTACAATGTGATTTTCTGGATTTTTTTTTCTCAATTTGTCTGTCATAGTTGACGTGTACCTATGATGAAAATTACAGGCCTCTCTCATCTTTTTAAGTGGGAGAACTTGCACAATTGGTGGCTGACCATATACTTTTTTTCCCCACTGTATTGGCCATATACCACAAACCCCCCGGGGTGCCTTATTGCTATTATAAACTGGTTACCGACGTAAATAGAACAGTAAAAAGTAATGTTTTGCCCGTGGTATATGGTCTGATAAAACACGGCTTTCAGCCCAATCAGCATTCAGGGCTCGAACCAGGTTTATAATTGTAAATAAATCCCCTTTGCACATGTGCGTAACTATAGATACATCCAACAGGAGAGTTTGAGGGATGAAACCTCTGAGCAAGAAACACTTGGATGAACATAAAAAAATTGCGAGATTGACTTGTCATTCTCAATAGACAGGCTAAAGGCTAAAATCTGGGTTTATGATTCTAATAAAATGTTGTCATAGGCTACTTTCCTTTATCCGAGCGAACTATGGCTCCTGATAGATCAGATAGTCTACAGTAGCCCTAGACAAGATGCAAACTGAACTATTTAGCAGTTTGCTTAGTTCGAAATTGATTCAACATGAATAGCGAGGCGATATCGCTGATAAGAAGTGGTTGTCTTTCCCAATAGCCTGCTGGAATAGGCTACTTAGGATGGGGGTCGTCATTTCAATCACTGAATTAAATATTAATAATATGTACATGAACTGAATATGCTTGTCGACAACAGCAAGCGTTTATAATAACAATAAAATAAAAAGGTTTTTACCTGTAGCCTAATCTGACTGTTACCATCAATCTAATGCGTTCTAATCAACTGAACTGCGATTGCGATAGAGCTTTGATAACTTCCAATTGAATTAACTAAACATGGCCATTTTAATAATTGCATAACAACACAAGGTTACAACAACAAACTGAAGTTATAGGCTACTTATTAAATCAGTATACCAGCTCCTGGTACATTTACATTTGAAAGATGAGTCATTTAGCAGACGCGCTTATCCAGAGCCACTTACAGTAGTGAGCGCATCTTCATACTTTTATTTTTTTTATTTTTTTTGGTCTCATACCGGTCCCCCTGTGGGAATCGAACCCACAACCCTGGCGTTGCAAGCCAACTGAGCTACAGGGGACACCACGTGTAGCTCTACACAAGTGGCACAAACTGATTTGCTCTGACTCCAGTGGTATCGTCTTTTCAACATTATTTATTCTCTATCAAATGGTAGCCCACAATGGCATATACACGAATAGGCTACTTGGTGGCCAACAAAGAGGCAAATGTATAATTCTCCACATTTAGCCCAATGTCAGTTTCATTGAGTACCGTTCCCCAATAAAAAGAACCACGCGAGGCAGTTCCACAACTTCCATTTAACATTTCCACTCGGGCAGCCCCCCCGAGACCCAAAAACGGAGCATGCATAAAGCACTTCGCTTGATACCGTTTTCTTTTAGCAAAGTCAACATTAGAATGCAGTTTAAACCACCTCCCGAGCGGATTCCTGTAATGAGCTCTAGTGCGCCCAAAGTCGTTTTCCGCTGCTTTTGTCTGCATTATTTCTTGATGTGCATCAGTTCTAGCGTATTCATATGTTTTATGGAAAAGGGTTTGGAAATTTTACAACTGGTCAAAAGTTGCTCCTCTCGCTCATTCAGCCAATAACTGTAGTGCTCTCTCAACACACACACACACACACACACACACACACACACACACACTCCTCCGATCCTCCCCACCACTCACTCACTCACTCACTCACTCACTCACTCACTCACTCCCTCAGCAACAGCCTGCCTTACTGCCTGACAGTCAGCAACAGGTCACAGTGAAATATATATTTTCACCCGCAACATCGTTTTTCAAAGTACCGTAGCCCAATTTTGCAGAATCCTATTTACTAGCGTCGGCTGAGCATCTTCCACGAGCACTGCCGACCACTCCACCTGGAACCTGGGCCGCACGTTGTCTGTCAGTGGACCGGCTTGTGACAATACTATAGTAACCTTAGTTCGACACCTAGTGTATGGAGCGATTTCAATGCCAACACAAATTGTATTTGAGTTCTATAATTTAGAATTTGTATTAGGATTTTGTATTAGCCTTAACCCAGTTAGACACGTGTTAACCTAATTGACTTCCTGTGTGCCGGAGACTTGAAACTAGCACATCTAACACAAACTAACACATGTCAAACTTAACACGTCTTCAGGTCTCGGGCAACGTTCTCATCACATAAGCATGAATCACCAAACCACGCTCTTTTGACGAGTAACCTTGCTGGATCTTAAAGACTTCTATTAGTGTAACAGACGGGCATCTGTGAAAACCCCTCAGCCTGAAGTGTTGCCACTTGCGTAATTGAAGAAGGCCTTTTTTAACGGCGCGATGGGCCTCAGGAGGGCGGTCACGTGTGTTTGCGAGGCAGAGGTCCTGAGTTCAAGTCTCGGTATGAGCTGAATCAGGGGGAAGCGGCACTCGTTAAGCAAGCAGCGTGTCATCCTTTACATGAACTTCCTGAACTTTTCCCCTATAGGCTTTAGCTAAGTGGGCCAACACAGTCTTGCGACATGCAGGAGACCTGCTTTGAACCCAGTCAGTCACAAGAGCAAGATTAAATAGGGAGTGGAAAGGCTAACCTTAGAAGGGCTATGACAGAGCTATTCAACTATATTCTTGTGGGGGTCAAATTGTGTTTTGTGACACTCCCTTTCAACGCAGTCTGTGATCCTCATAGAGGGGAACAGAAGGCATCTCCACGCTCCAGGGAGTCTCAGCTTTCAGGAATGAGGTCATAATAGCTTATAGCCAAAGCGGTTCACACGCTAGAGACAAATTCATAGGAAGAAAATAAATTGAACATTCCTCATTGGCTTCAGAAACTGCCAGAAGCTTGTGTTTACAACAGAGATCTGTTCTCCTCTACCTTTCCTTGCTGGCTAAGTACCAGGATGTTGTCTCTGGTTTTGAATCTAAATTTTAGAGAACTGAATTTGAAAACTGAATCTGAATGCATCTTAGAAGTTGAATTAATGAAACTTTGATCAACTTGAAATGATAGTGTGTAAACTTGATACACAGACAATGAATGAAATATTTAACATATTGACTATATACACCGTTCATCATTGAAAGTTTGTCGTGGCCGAGTCTGAAACTGTTCGGTTTCCATAATCAAAGAGGAAGTTGTGTATCTCTACTTGATACTTGAGGACATTTTGTTTTTGCTACTTTTCAGATTTTTTTTTTTTTCTTCTGAGAAATGTGAAGGGCATCCGTTAAACAGTAAATCAACTTTGTATGGCCTAATTTTAACATTTTATAAATGGTCAATACAGTATCATCATTGAGATGACGCACCAACCATTTTGTTTTCTATTTCTCCTGTCAGGGAACTGCTGCTAAGAAGGAGGGAGAGGAGACCCCTGCCAACACGGAGGGGAAAGGCATCGCCGCACGCATTATTGGACCGTTCAAACCAGTAAGGACCAGGCTGTACTTCCACACTCAACCACTAGGTGGAGCTCTCTATATCAAAACAAGTCTGAAACAAGTCCCAAATGGCACCCTATTCCCTACATAGTGCACTACTTTAGACCAGAGAATGGTACCCTATTCCCTACATAGTGCACTACTTTAGACCAGAGAATGGCACCCTATGGCCCCCCCTTAACCCCCCTATATAGTGCACTACTTTAGACCAGAGAATGGTCAACCCTATTCCCTATATAGTGCACTACTTTAGACCAGAGAATGGCACCCTATTCCCTATATAGTGCACTACTTTAGACCAGAGAATGGCACCCTATTCCCTATATAGTGCACTACTTTAGACCAGAGAATGGCACCCTATTCCCTATATAGTGCACTACTTTAGACCAGAGAATGGCACCCTATTCCCTATATAGTGCACTACTTTAGACCGGGCCCATAGGGAATAGGGTATCATTTGGGACGAGGCCTGAATGATCCATTTGACCATTGGAGAGAGATCACCTTAGACTAAATCTGTTTACAAGATGTTTGTAAAAACTGTAGCTCAGCTGGTAGAGCACGCCGCTTGTAACGCCAAGGTAGTGGGTTCGATCCCCGGGACCACCCATACACAAAAATGTATGCACGCATGACTGTAAGTCGCTTTGGATAAAAGCGTCTGCTAAATGGCATATTATTATTATTATTATTATTACAACAGTTAAAAGTTGAATTGACCCACTGTGAGATTTAGTTTTCTGTTTCAGGAAGTGAGATGAATTATTTAGATTGGTCAGTGAATAAAAGAGTGTAATTGACTCTTTTTGTTCTTCCTCTCTTCCAGGCTCCGTCGTCCTACAACCCTCAGCGGCCGGTGCCCTACCCCATCCCCCCCTGCAGACCTCACGCCACCATCGCACCAAGTAAGACCACCTTACTGCTCAACACCTACCATAACACAGACCGCCTGTACGGCGAACACTACCATCAACACAGACCTCCTTGAATAAACAACACCTACCAGACACAGCTCCTTAATAAACACCACCTCCATAACACAGACCACCCCTAATAACCAACACCTACCATAAGCACAGACCCACCTTAAATAAACAACCACCTACCATCACACAGACCTCCTTTAATAAAAAAACACCTACCATACCACATACCTCCTTAATACGCAACACTACCTAAACACAGACCTCGATTAATACTCAACCTACATAACACATACTCCCTTAATACTCAACACCTCCCATAACACAGACCTCCTTAATCAAAACACCTTCCCATAACACAGACCTCTTAATAAACAACAGACCACCTAATACTAACACCTACCATTAACCACATACCTCCTTATGCTTCTAACACCTACCATAACACAGACCTCCTTAATAAACAAAACACTACCATAAACACCAGACCACTTAATACTCCACACCTACCATAACACAGACCTCCTTACTGCCTCCAACACCTACCCTACACAGACCACTTAATACTCAACACCTACCAGAACACCGACCTCCTTACTGCCCTTCAAAAAACACCTACCATTAACACAGACCTCCTTACTGCTCAACACCTCCCATAACAAGCCCTCTTACATAAAACAACACCTACCATAACACCGACCACCTTATAAAAAACACCCTACAATAACAACAGACCACTTAAATAAACCCCCACCTACCATATACACAGACCACCTTAATACTCAAACACCTACTCATAACACAGACCTCTTTAATACTCAACAACACACCATCACCCCAGACCTCCTTAATAAACAACCACCTACCATAAACATCAGACCACCTTACTGCTTCAAAACCTACCATAACACAGGACCACTTACTAACAATACACCTACCATAACACCGACCACCGTAAAGACTCAACCCCTACCATAAACACAGACCTCCTTACTACTCAAACCTCCCATAACGCAGACCCCTAATAAACAACACACCTACCATTAACACAGACCTCCTTAATAAACACCAACACCTACCATAAAACCAAAGACCTCTTAATACTCAACACCTACCATAAACCACAGACCTCCTTAATAAACAAACACCTTTACCCATAACCCCGACCACCTTAATACTCAACCCATACCAATAACACAGACATCCTTAATAAACAACACTACCATACACACAGACCTCCTTACTTGACCTCAAACACTACCATAAACACAGCCCCGCCTTAATATCAACACCTACCCTAACACATACCTCCCTTACTAAAACAACCACCTACCATAAACAGACCTCCTAATAAACAACACAGACCCCCTTAATTACTCAACCCCTAACCATAACACAGACCTCCTTGTACTGATCAAACACCTACCTAACCACAGACCTCCTCTACTGCCTAAACACCTACCATAAACACAGACCTCCTTTACTGCTCAACACCTTACCATACAACACAGACTCCTTAAATAAACCCAACACCTACCATAACACATACCTCCTTAATACTCAACACCTACCATAACAACAGACCTCCTTAATACACACACTACCATACCCCAGACCACTTACTGCTCAAACACCTACCATAACACAGACACCTTAATAAACACCACCTACCATAAACACAGACCACCTAATACTCAACCACCCTTAAAACCATAACACCGACCCCCTTAATACTCAACACCTACATAAACAAGACCTCCTTTAATAAAACAACACTACCATAAACACAGACCACCTTACTGCTTCAAAAACCCACCTACCATACCACAGACCACCTTAATTAAACACACCTACCATAACACAGACCACCTTAATATCAACACCTACCATAAACACCGACCTCCTTAATACTCAACACCTACCATAACGCAGGACCCTTCCTTACTAAACAACACCCTACTAAACACGACCACCTTAATCAAAACACTACCATAACAAGACCTCCTTAATAAACAACACCTACCATAACACAGGACCTCCCTTAATAAACAAAAACACCTACCCATAACCACAGACCTCCTTATGCGCTCAACACCTATCCATAGCACAGACCCTCCTTAATAAAACACACACCTACCATAACACAGACCACCTTAATACTCAACACCTACCTACCACAGACCCCTTCATAAACAACACCTACCATAACACCGACCACCTTAATATCAACCACCTACCATAACATATACCTCCTTACTACTTAACACCTTACCATAAAACACAGACCACCTTAATAAACAACACTATCCATAACGCAGACCACCCTTAATAAACCACACCTACCATCACGCAGACACCTAATCAACAAAACCTAGCATCCCACAGGACCTCCTTACTGCCTCAACACACCTACCATAACACGACCTCTTACTAAAACACCTACCATAACACAGACCTCCTTAATAAACAACACCTACCCATAACACCGGAACCTCCTTAATAAAACCAAAACCTAACCCCATTAACCACGACCACCTTCATAACACAAACACCTACCATAACACAGACCCACCTTTAATACTCAACCCTACCTCACACCGACCACCTTAATAAAACAACACCTCCCATAACAAGACCACCTTAATTTAAAAAAAACACCTACCCTAACACCGACAACCTTATACTCAACACTACCATACCACGACCTCCTTAATAAAACAACACCTCTTACATAAACACAGGGACACCTCAATAAACAACACCTACCCTTAAACACCGACCTCCCTTACTCTCAAACACCTACCATAACACAGGACCACCTTAATACTTCAACACCTACCATAAACACAGACCCTTACTGCTCACCACCACCTCCATAACACAGACCTATTCTGCTCAACACCTACCATAACACCGACCCTCCTTAATAAAACAACACTACCCATAACACAGAACCACCTTAATAAAACAACACCTACCATAACACAGACCACCCTTAATAAAAACAACTACCATAACACCGACCACCTTAATATCAAACACCTACCATAACACAGACCTTCCTTAATACTCATACACCTACCATAAACAGACCTCCTTAATATAAACAACACATACATAACACAGACCACCTGACTGCTCAACACCTACCATTAACCACAGACCACTAATAACAACACCTACCACTAACACAGACCACCTTCCTATCAAACCCCTACCATAACCACAGACCTCCTTAATACTCAACACCTACCTAAAGCGACCACCGTCATAAACAACACCTACCCTAAACACCAGACCTCTTACTAAAACACACACCTACCATAACACAGACCTCCTTCATACGCAACACTACCATCAACACAGACCCTCTTAAACAAACAACACCTACCATAACACAGAACCACCTAATACTCAACACCTACCATAACACAGGGACCTCCTTAATAAACACAACACCTACCATAACACAGGACCTCTCATTCACTGCTCAACACCTACCATAACACAGACTCCTTAATACTCAACAACTACCATAAACACATACCTCCTAATTAAACAACACCTACCCTAACAAGACCTCCTAATAAACAACCAAGGACCACCTTAATACCAACACATACCCAATAACACCAGGACCTTCCTTACTGCTCAACACCTTAACATACCCAGGACCTCCTTTACTGCTCAACACCTACCATAACACAGGGGGACCTCCTTACTGCTCAACCCCTACCATAACACCGACTCCTTACTAAACACACACCTTACCATAACACCACACCTCTTACTACTCAACACCCTACCATAAACAACAGGACCTCCTTAATAAACAACACCCTACCATAACACAGACCACCTTACGCTCAACACCTACCATAACACAGACCACCTTAAATAAACAACCACCTACCATACACCAGACCACCTTAATACTCCAACCTACCATAAACACAGACCTCCTTAATATCAACACCTACCCTAACACAGCCCTCCTTAATAAACACCACCTCCATCAAACAGAGCACCTTACTGCTCCACCACCACCATAACACAGACCACCTTAATACACACCACTCCCATAACACAGACCACCTTAATACTCAACACCTACCATAACACAGACCTCCTTAATACTCAACACCTACCATAACGCAGACCTCCTTAATTAAACAACCCCCCCCCCCCCCCCCCCCCAACACCTACTAAACCACAGACAACCCTTAATAACAACACCTACCATAACACAGACCTCTTTTAATAAACCACCCTACCATAACCACAGACCTCCTTAATAAACAAACCACCATACCACAGACATTCCTTACTGCTCAAACACCCTACACTAGCACAGACCTCCTTAATACACAACACCTACCATAACACAGACCACTTCTAACTCAACACCTACATAACACAGACCTCCTTAATAAAAAAACCTACCATACACACAGACCACCTTAATATCAACCCTACCATTAACAAACCTCCTTAATACTTTAACACCTACCATAACACCATTACCACACCTTAAATAAACCAAACACCTACCCTAACGCAGACCACCTAATAAAACAACACCTACCATAACGCAGACCACCTTATAAACAACACACCTAGCTATACCACAGGACCTCCTTTACTGCTCAACACCCTACCATAACCAGACCTCCTTAATAAACACCTTACCATAACACAGACCTACTTAATAAACAAACCACCTCCTCTACCATAACACAGACCTCATTAATAAACAAAACCTACATAACACAGGACCACCTTAAATAAAACAACACCTACATAACACAGACACCTTAATACTCAAAAAACCTACCATAACACAGGACCACCTTAATAAAAACAACACCCTACCATAAACACAGACCCCTTAATTAACAACCACCCTACCATAAACCAACCGACACCTTAATACTCAACACCTACCATAACACAGCCTCCTAATAAACAACCACCTACCATAACAACCAAGGACCACCTTAATAAACAACACCTACCATACACAGGACCTCTTAATACTCAAACACCCTACCATAACACAGACCACCTTAATAAAACAACACCTACCATAACACCAGACCACCTTTAATAAACAACATTTTCCTACATAACACAGACCTCCTTCAATAAATCCACACCTCTTCCCATAACACAGACCATCCTTACTACTCAACACACCCCACCATAACACAGACCCCCTTAATAAAACAACACCGACATTCACACAGACCACCTTAATACTCAACACCTACCAGTTAACAACACAGACCTCGTTGAATAAAACAAAACACCCTACCATAAACACCGACCCTCCTTAATAAACAACACCTACCATACACAGACCCCTTAAAAAACAACACCCTACCTAACACAGACCACCTTAAAATACTCAACACTACCATAAACACAGACCTCCTAATAACCACACCTACCATAACACAGACTCCTTAATATACACAACACTACCATAACCCAGGACCACCCTAATAAAACAACACCCTACCATAACACAGACCCCTTACCCTTAATACTCAAAACCTACCATAACACAGACCCCTAATAATTAAACAACACCTACCATACACAGACCTCCTTATAAAACAACACCTACCATAACCCAGACCTCCTTTAATACTCAACACCTACATAAACAGACCACCTTAATAACCAAACACCTACCATAACACAGACCTCCTTAATAAACAACAACCTACCATAACACATACCTCCTTAATAAACAACACCTACCATAACACAGACCTCCTTACTAATAAACACCTACATAAACACAGACCTCCTTAATAAACAACACCTACCATAACACAAGACCTCACTACTAAACAAAACCTACCATAACACAGACACCCTTCATACTCAACCCTACCATAAACAGACCACCTTTCATATCAACACTACCATAAACACAGACCCACCTAATAAACAAACACCTACCATTAAACAGCACCACCTTAATAACAAACACCTACCATAACACAGACCACCTTAATACTCAACACCTACCATAACACAGACCTCCTTAATAACTCAACAACCAACCATAACCACAGGACACCTAATAAACAACACCTACCATAACACGACCTCCTCAATACTCAACACCTACCATAACACAGACCCCCCTTAATAAACAACACCTACCATACCACCAGACCACCTTAATAAACAACCCCAACCATAACACAGACCACCTTAATAAACCAACACCTACCATAACACCAGACCACCTTCATCCTCAAACACCTACCATAACACAGACCTCCTTAATACACAAACACCTTACATAACACAGACCTTCCCTTAATAAACAACACCTACCAAACACAAGACCACTTAATACTCAACACCTACATACAGACCTCCTTAATTAACAACACACCTACCATAACACAGAACCTCTTAATTAAACAACACCTACCATAAACACAGACCACCTTAATAAACAACAACCTACCCTAACACATACCTCCTTAATAAACAACACATACCAACACAGACCCCCTTAATAACAAACACCTACCCTACCATACCTCCTATTTAATAACACCATTACCATAACACAGACCTCCTTTTAATAAACAACACCTACCATAACAAGACCACCTTAAATACTCAACACTACCATAACACAGACCCTCCTTAATTAACAACACCTACATAACACAGACCACCCTTAATTACTCAACACCTACCATAAACCACAGACCTTCTTTCTAAACAACACCTAACCCTAACAGACCCACCTTAATAAACAACACCTACCATAACAGACCACCTTAATAAACCACCACCTCCATAAACAGACCTCATTAATAAAACAAACACTACCATAACACAGACCACCTTCATAAACAACACTACCATAACCACAGACCACCTTAATTAACAACACCTACCATAACACAGACCTCCTTAATACACAACACCTACCATAACACAGACCTCCTTAATAAACAACACCTACCATAACACAGACCTCCTTAATAAACAACACCTACCATAACACAGACCTCCTTAATAAACAACACCTACCATAACACAGACACCTTAATAAACAACACCTACCATTAAAACACAGCTCTCCTTAATACTCTCAAACACCTACCCTAACACAGACCTCCTTAAACTCACGCCTTACCCCATAACACAGACCACCTTAATAAACAACACCTACCATAACACAGACCACCTTAATAAACAACACCTACCATAACACAGACCACCTTAATACTCAACACCTACCATAACACAGACCTCCTTAATAAACAACACCTACCATAACACAGACCTCCTTAATAAACAACACCTACCATAACACAGACCACCTTAATAAACAACACCTACCATAACACAGACCACCTTAATACTCAACACCTACCATAACACAGACCACCTTAATAAACAACACCTACCATAACACAGACCTCCTTAATAAACAACACCTACCATAACAAAGACCACCTTAATAAACAACACTTACCATAACACAGACCTCCTTAATAACAACACCTACCATAACACAGACCTCCTTAATTAACAACACCTACCATAACACAGACCACCTTAATAAACAACACCTACCATAACCATCTTACTGACAAGACAGACCAACCACAACATTGACCGTGTGCAGTAGATCACAATAAAACATCTAGAATTGTCGGGAAAGGAACAGAAAATGTGGTGAGAGGTGATAGGACGACCACTCGCTGAGCACGGCCAATGTTCCTGTTGGTCCGTCTCGCCCTTAACGTAGACCTCCTCACCTCAGTACCTTCTGCCTTCTGTAACAGATAACAGAGAGATCAGGAAAGGAAGGAGAGAGTGGTAGTCTTAACTCCACGTGGTCCTCTGTAGCTCAGCTGGTAGAGCGCGGCGCTTGTAACGCCAGGGTAGTGGGGTTCGATCCCCGGGACCACCCATACGTAAAAATGTATGCACACATGACTGTAAGTCGCTTTGGATAAAAGCGTCTGCTAAATGGCTTATTATTATTATTATTATTATTATTATATTATTATTATATCTGAGTTCTGTACCTCTCAGGATGCTCTGAGTTCAAACAGACATCAGCCTTGACGTGGCACAGTAGGGTGTGTGTGTGTGTGTGTGTGTGTGTGTGTGTGTGTGTGTGTGTGTGTGTGTGTGTGTGTGTGTGTGTGTGTGTGTGTGTGTGTGTGTGTGTGTGTGTGTGTGTGTGTGTGTGTGTGTAGCAGTGTGTGTGTGTGTGTGTGTAGCAGTGTGTGTGTAGCAGTGTGTGTGAGTGTGTGTGTGTAGCAGTGTTAATGTGTTGCCATGCGTCTCAGGTAGGTACAACAACGCAGGGCTGGTATCAGTGGGCGGGGTCATTACGTCCAGCGTTCTACCCCCACCCTACAGCGCCAGCACCAAGTCCACAGGTACGACCGGGGGGTGAGGGTGTGTGGGACAGAGAGAGAGATAGAGAGACTGTGTGTTGGTGTGTGAGAGAGAGAGAGAGAGGGTCTGTGTGTGTGTGTGTGTGTGTGTGTGTGCGCGCCTGCCTGCGTGTGTGTGTGAGAATTGGCATCTCTCTTAGCTTGCTGCCTAACCTCCTGGCTTATCTGCACTTGTCAGAGGAAGCTATCATTGGAACTGTAAAGATCAGTCTGTCTGTATGTATCCCTTACATCTCCATTGCTACCAGCTTCACCACCACCAACTGTGCTAGGTGGAGGGAGAAATGACATGGAGGGTTATTAATTAACCAGCTGACACAGTGTCTTAGACCTCACTTCTCTGTTTCCTGTTTCCTGTTCTAATAGAAGGTTATTAATTAACCAGCTGACACAGTGTCTTAAACCTCACTTCTCTGTTTCCTGTTTCCTGTTTCCTGTTCTAATAGAAGGTTATTGGATAACCAACTGACACAGTGTCTTAGACCTCACTTCTCTGTTTCCTGTTTCCTGTTCTAATAGAGGGTTATTGGTTAACCAGCTGACACAGTGTCTTAGACCTCACCTCTCTGTTTCCTGTTTCCTGTTCTAATAGAGGGTTATTAATTAACCAGCTGACACAGTGTCTTAGACCTCACCTCTCTGTTTCCTGTTTCCTGTTCTAATAGAAGGTTATTGGTTAACCAGCTGACACAGTGTCTTAGACCTCACCTCTCTGTTGCCTGTTTCCTGTTCTAATAGAAGGTTATTAATTAACCAGCTGACACAGTGTCTTAGACCTCACTTCTCTGTTTCCTGTTTCCTGTTCTAATAGAGGGTTATTAATTAACCAGCTGACACAGTGTCTTAGACCTCACCTCTCTGTTTCCTGTTTCCTGTTCTAATAGAAGGTTATTGGTTAACCAGCTGACACAGTGTCTTAGACCTCACCTCTCTGTTTCCTGTTTCCTGTTTACTGTTCTAATAGAAGGTTATTGGATAACCAGCTGACACAGTGTCTTAGACCTCACTTCTCTGTTTCCTGTTTCCTGTTCTAATAGAGGGTTATTGGTTAACCAGCTGACACAGTGTCTTAGACCTCACCTCTCTGTTTCCTGTTTCCTGTTTACTGTTCTAATAGAAGGTTATTGGATAACCAGCTGACACAGTGTCTTAGACCTCACTTCTCTGTTTCCTGTTTCCTGTTCTAATAGAGGGTTATTGGTTAACCAGCTGACACAGTGTCTTAGACCTCACCTCTCTGTTTCCTGTTTCCTGTTCTAATAGAATGTTATTGGATAACCAGCTGACACAGTGTCTTAAACCTCACTTCTCTGTTTCCTGTTTCCTGTTCTAATAGAAGGTTATTGGTTAACCAGCTGACACAGTGTCTTAGACCTCACCTCTCTGTTTCCTGTTTCCTGTTCTAATAGAGGGTTATTGGTTAACCAGCTGACACAGTGTCTTAGACCTCACCTCTCTGTTTCCTGTTTCCTGTTCTAATAGAAGGTTATTGGTTAACCAGCTGACACAGTGTCTTAGACCTCACCTCTCTGTTTCCTGTTTCCTGTCTTAGGCCTCACCTCTCTGTTTCCTGTTTCCTGTCTTAGACCTCACCTCTCTGTTTCCTGTTTCCTGTTCTAATAGAAGGTTATTGGTTAACCAGCTGACACAGTGTCTTAGACCTCACCTCTCTGTTTCCTGTTTCCTGTCTTAGGCCTCACCTCTCTGTTTCCTGTTTCCTGTCTTAGACCTCACCTCTCTGTTTCCTGTTCTAATAGAGGGTTATTGGTTAACCAGCTGACACAGTGTCTTAGACCTCACCTCTCTGTTTCCTGTTTCCTGTTCTAATAGAGGGTTATTGGTTAACCAGCTGACACAGTGTCTTAGACCTCACCTCTCTGTTTCCTGTTTCCTGTTCTAATAGAAGGTTATTGGTTAACCAGCTGACACAGTGTCTTAGACCTCACCTCTCTGTTTCCTGTTTCCTGTCTTAGACCTCACCTCTCTGTTTCCTGTTTCCTGTTCTAATAGAAGGTTATTGGTTAACCAGCTGACACAGTGTCTTAGACCTCACCTCTCTGTTTCCTGTTTCCTGTCTTAGACCTCACCTCTCTGTTTCCTGTTTCCTGTTCTAATAGAGGGTTATTGGTTAACCAGCTGACACAGTGTCTTAGACCTCACCTCTCTGTTTCCTGTATCCTGTTCTAATAGAATGTTATTGGTTAACCAGCTGACACAGTGTCTTAGACCTCACCTCTCTGTTTCCTGTTTCCTGTTCTAATAGAAGGTTATTGGTTAACCAGCTGACACAGTGTCTTAAACCTCACCTCTCTGTTTCCTGTTCTAATAGAAGGTTATTGGTTAACCAGCTGACACAGTGTCTTAGACCTCACCTCTCTGTTTCCTGTTCTAATAGAAGGTTATTGGTTAACCAGCTGACACAGTGTCTTAAACCTCACCTCTCTGTTTCCTGTTCTAATAGAAGGTTATTGGTTAACCAGCTGACACAGTGTCTTCAACCTCACCTCTCTGTTTCCTGTTCTAATAGAAGGTTATTGGTTAACCAGCTGACACAGTGTCTTCAACCTCACCTCTCTGTTTCCTGATCTAATAGAATGTTATTGGATAACCAGCTGACACAGTGTCTTAGACCTCACCTCTCTGTTTCCTGTTTCCTGTGTCCTGTTCTAAGTGGAAATAATGATAACAAACTAGATAACGCAAATACTCATCAGGTTCGAGTCTCATGGCACCCTATTCCCTCTATAGTGCACTATATTTGACGAGAGTCCTATGTGCCTTGGTTAAAAGTAGTGCACTATATAGGCAATAGGGTGTCATCTGATACACTATATAGGGAATAGGGTGCCATCTGATACACTGTTCTGGCTTGCTGGCTGAAGGGGGGGGGGTTGCTAGGCTACAGTCGGTAGCGTTCTGGCTGCTTCCTGCTTGCTCACTCACTCTCTCTCTCTCTCTTAATGCACAATAAATACAGTTAAAAGAAGATGGAATATGATAGCCTACTGTTAGGAGTTGTCTTCTAGCCTGGTCCCAGATCTGTTTATGTTACGCCAATCACTATAGCGGTTGTCAAGATGACCAAACAGATCTGGGACCAGTTACGCCAATCACTATAGCGGTTGTCAAGATGACCAAACAGATCTGGGACCAGGCTAGTTGTCTTGTTGCCTGAAATCCAAACCTGTTTTGTGCTAACATTCCACAATGTTTGGCATATGACACAGAGTCGCAAGGAGTGGATTGTTGCCACAAACAGATCTGGTACCAGGCTAGCTTGTGTTATTAATCTTGATGTTTTTCTGTGTCTCCAGGCTACGCCAGACCTGCCAATCAACAACAGCACCCCGTCACAGGTGTCAACTCCACGGCCCTCCCATCTCCCCTCGGCTCCGCCCCAGTCCCTCCCCTGCCCTCCCCCTCTCACCCCACCCCCACCACCCCCATCACCCCTGTGTTCCCTGGCAAGGTCCCCTCCCAGAACCCTCTAGCCCCCTCCCCCGCCCCCTCTCCCTCCGTCATCAAAGGGGGTCCCCTCCCATCCGGTTCCCCCCACCTGCCCCCCACCACCCCCTCCGTCATTAAGGCTCACACCCCGTCAGGTACCCCCTCCGGTACCCCCGGTCCCCACCACCCAGGGGCGTTCTCCTCCTCTCCCTTCCATGCCGGTGCCTCTCGGTCAGACACCCCGACCCCAAGGACTCCCCTCCCTGACCCCCTCCCTCAGGGTACCCCTGTGGGCCTTCCTCAGTACAGCCCCCAGACAGGCCCTGCCTTCCCTGGCCTGCCCGCATACCAGACCACCCCGTCTGGGTCAGTGATCCGCAGCTATCCCCCGTCCTCCACCTCGGCCCCCAGCCCCAAGCCCTCCCCGGCCCTGTCCGGCCAGGCCCAGGCGTCCTTCTACAGCGAGCAGCACCGCGGCCCATTGGCTAGAACCGGAGGGGGGACAGGCAGTGGCAGTAACAGCCCAGTCCCCTCTGCCTTTAAAGGCCCTTCCCGTGCGGGTACTCCCTCCCTCAGCTCTCTGGTGATGCCTGGTGGATCAGCAGCCCTAGCCCGCTCCCTGGCTCTGTCCCACCCCTCTGCATCCCCACAGGGCTCCCTCCCCAGCCCTGCTGCTATGGCCAGCCTCCAGGCCCTCTCCTCAGGCCCGGCTACCCCCCACTACCCCGGCCTCTCCCCCTTCCCCTCCCCTGTCCTCCATGACCCCCACCTCCCACCCCCAGACCTCCATGGCCTACCCAGGCCTGGCTCACAGCGTAACCCCAAGCGGAGCCTCTCCCTTTGGGATGGGTCTGACCACCGCCCCTTCTATCTTCCCGGGGCTGGCTCCAGGGCCCAGTCCGGGGGGGTTTCCAGGGTTTGGGGGTTCAGGGGGACCGGGGGCGGGGAGCCCCGTCCTGTCCTCCTTCATGGGTGCCGGGGCGTCCGTAGCAACCGTAGCCCCTCTCCATTCGGCGGCGGCCGTGGCGGCGGCAGGAGGTCCGTCCTCCTCTCCCGTTCTACCAGGCTTCGCCTCTGCTTTCAGCTCCAACTTCCAGCCTGGGTGAGAGAGAGACAGTGTGTGTGTGTGTGTGTGCCTGCCTGCCTGCCTGCGTCCCCGAGCCGGTATGACAGTTTTCTACGTGCGTGTTTCAGCATTGTGACTGATTTTTAAAGAATGTGATGACATTTTCTAGATCGTTACAGATGGAGAATGCGAACAATGTCCCTTGATGCTTTAGATAAAACCCTAATCTCAGAACTCAGGTCCGAGTGATCATGTAACTAGATACTATTAACCTTAACCCTACTGGGTGGGAAATGACTTTTTTTAGCTGTAAACCGTCCAGTAATGATTTATACTAGCTTTAGAAACATATGACTCTATACACTACCTGACCAAAAGTATGTGGACACCTTGCTTGTCGAACATCATTCCACAATCATGGGCATTAATATGGAGTTGGTCCCCCCTTTGCTGCTATAACAGCCTCCACTCTTCTGGGAAGGCTTTCCACTAGATGTTGGAACATTGCTGCGGGGACTTGCTTCCATTCAGCCACAAGAGCATTAGTGAGGTTGGGCACTGATGTTGGGCGATTAGGCCTGGCTCGTAGTTGGCGTTCCAATTCATCCCAAAAATTGGGGTTGAGGTCAGGGCTCTGTGCAGGCCAGTCAAGTTCTTCCACACCGATCTCTACAAACCATTTCGTTATGGACTGTCGGACTGCCAGATGGTGATTCATCACTCTAGAGAACGTGTTTCCACTGCTCCAGAGTCCAATGGCGGCGAGCTTTACACCACTCCAGCTGACGCTGTTCGGCCATGGAAACCCATTTCATGAAGCTCCCGACGAACAGTTATTGTGCTGACGTTGCTTCCAGAGGCAGTTTGGAACTCTGTAGTGAGTGTTGCAACCGAGGACAGACGATTGTTACGCGCTACGGACTTCAGCACTCGGCGGTCCCGTTCTGTGAGCTTGTGTGGCATACCACTTCACGGCTGAGCCGTTGTTACTCCTAGACGTTTACACTTCACAATAACAGCACTTACAGTTGACCAGGGCAGCTCTAGCTGGGCAGAAATTTGATGAACTGACTTGTTGGAAAGGTGGCATCCTATGACGGTGCCACGTTGAAAGTCACTGAGCTCGTCAGTAAGGTCATTCTACTGCCAGTGTTTGTCTATGGAGATTGCATGGCGGTGTGTTCGATTTTATACACCTGTCAGCAACGGGTGTGGCTGACATAGTCGAGTCCACTCATTTGAAGGGGGTGTCCACATACCAATGTATCTGTGGATGTGTCAGTCTAGAGAACTTTATCCTAGAGAACTGTATCAGTGGATGGGTCAGCCTAGAGAACGGTATCAGTGGATGGGTCAGCCTAGAGAACTGTATCAGTGGATGGGTCAGCCTAGAGAACTGTATCAGTGGATGGGTCAGCCTAGAGAACTGTATCAGTGGATGGGTCAGCCTAGAGAACGGTATCAGTGGATGGGTCAGCCTAGAGAACGGTATCAGTGGATGGGTCAGCCTAGAGATAACTCTGTGGAACCTCATGCCAATGATTCCGACTATATACCATACATGGAGGTTCTGTCACAACTGGCACCCTATTGGCTACATAGTGCACTACTATACCCATGGTTTAATGTAGTGCACTATAAAGGGAATATGGTGCTATTTGGGACTCAAGCAGAGTGGCTGATATACAGGGTACAAGTCATCTCTACTACTTCCCATTAGGTCTTTTACAACATCATCATTATAACACTGTCCGAAGTCCAGCTCCTCTGTTTTATAACAGCATTTAGTAAGTAGTCATGGTTTATGATGCTAGTCTATCTCCTGTTTCTGTAGTGAGACAGCTTGATGTACAGTACACCCCCTGGACAGGACACTAGTATATTTCCCTAAATCTATCTCCTTAATGCTGAGTGCCAAGCAGAGATTTATTTTTTAGTTTAGTTTATTTGCACATTGTCAAAGTACAGCTCTTCCTCTGCAACAGTGTTCGCGTCTCGTTTAGGTCCAATTTATTTAATTTTAACAGTTGAACTTAAAATATAGACTACATGGTCAAAAGTATGTAGACACCTGCTCGTCGAACATCTCATTCCAAAATCATGGGCATTAATATGGAGTTGGACCCCCCCCTTTTCTGCTATAACAGCCTCCACTCTTCTGGGAAGGCTTTCCACTAGATGTTGGAACATTGCTCTGGGGACTTGTTTCCATGTTGGGCGATTAGGCCTTGCTCGCAGTCAGTCTACAAATTAATCCCAAAGGTGTTCGATGGGGTTGAGAACAGGGCTCTGTGCAGGCCAGTCAAGTTCTTCCACACCAATCTCGACAACTCATTTCGTTATGGACCTCGCGTTGTGCACGGGGGCATTGTCATGCCCGAAACAGGAAAGGGCCTTCCCCAAACTGTTGCCACAAAGTTGTAAGCACAGAATCGTCTAGAATTGTATGCTGTAGCGTTAAGATTTTCCATCACTGGAACTAAGGGGCCTAGCTCGAACCATGAAAAACATCCCCAGACCATTATTCCTCCTCCACCAAGCTTTACAGTTGGCACTATGCATTTGGGGCAGGTAGCGTTCTCCTGGCATCCGCCAAACCCAGATTCGTCCGTCGGACTGCCAGACGATGATGTGTGATTCATCACTCCAGAGAACGTGTTTCCACTGCTCCAGAGTCCAATGGTGGTGAGCTTTACACCACTCCAGCCGACGCTTGGCATTGCGCATGGTGATCTTAGGCGTGTGTGCTGCTGCTCTGCCATGGAAACCCATTTCATGAAGCTCCCGATGAACAGTTATTGTGCTGACGTTGCTTCCAGAGGCAGTTTGGAACTCGGTAGTGAGTGTTGCAACCGAGGACAGACGATTTTTACGCGCTTCAGCAATCGGCGGTCCCGTTCTGTGAGCTTGTGTGGCCTACCACTTCACGGCTGAGCCGTTGTTGCTCCTAGACGTTTCCACTTCACAATAAGGGGGGGGGTGTAAGGCTGCTGTCGTCACGGTGAATCTAGGTGAATTATTACAGCCATATAATGTTATCTAGCGCAGGCCAAAGTCTAGCTGGATAAGGCCTCACCCTCTTTGTACATTTCTACACTTAAGAATGCAGGTGAAGGTTATTGTAGGAGTTGAGTCGACCTTGGGAAACGAGAAACCGCATAAAGGCTCCGAGAAGGGTTGGGGTCAAGTTCCATTTCAACTCGGTGAGCTCGAGAGATGAATTTAAAATTCAAGGAATTGAAAAGTCTTATAGTCTTGTTGTCCAATGAGGATTGTTCAAGTTACATTTCAGTTCACTGGAAATTGACTGAATTCAAGGGGGGAATCAGCAGTTGCTACATCCATTTTTGGACTTATAAATGAATGGTATGTGTAGCCTACCATATGAGCTTGTTTTACTCCAATGTTTGTAAACACAGTGTAAGGAATACACTTTGTTATTGTTTCAACTGCTGATTGGCCCTTTTAACAATGTGACCTGTACGCTCTCGTTGGCTGGCCCTCACTACACGTTCGTCGCCAAACCCACTGGCTCCAGGCCATCTATAAATCACTGCTAGGCAAATCCCCGCCTTATCTTAGCTCATTGGTCACCATAGCAACACCCACCCGTAGTATGCGCTCCAGCGGATATATCTCACTGGTCATCCCCAAAGCCAACACCTCCTTTGGCCGCCATTCCTTCCAGTTCTCTGCTGCCAATGACTGGAACGAATTGCAAAAATCTCTGAAGCTGGAGACTCTTATCTCCCTCACTAACTTTAAGCGTCAGTTGTCAGAGCACCTTACCGATCACTGCACCTGTACACAGCCCATCTGAAATTAGCCCACCCAACTACCTCATCCCCATATTGTTATTTATTTTGCTCATTTGCACCCCAGTATCTCTATTTGCACATCATCTTCTGCACATCTATCATTCCAGTGTTAATACTAAATTGTAATTATTTTGCACTATGGCCTATTTATTGCCTTACCTCCATTACTTACTACATTTGCACACACTGTATATATATTTTCTGTTGTATTTTTTGACTTTATGTTTTGTTTTACCCCATATGTAACTTGTTTTTATCACACTGCTTTGCTTTATCTTGGCCAGGTCGCAGTTGTAAATGAGAACTTGTTCTCAACTGGCTTCTTACCTGGTTAAATAAAGGTGAAATAAATATTTTAAAAATCCTAACAGTCCTATATGCCTCTGTCTCTCTCTGTCTCTCTCTCTCTCTCTCTCTCTCTCTCTCTCTCTCTCTCTCTCTCTCTCTCTCTCTCTGTCTCTCTCTCTCTGTGTCTCTCTCTCCTCTTGTCTCTCTCTCTGTCTCTCTCTTCTCTCTCTCTCTCTCTCGTCTCTCTCCTCTCTCTCTCTCTGTCTCTCTCTCTGTGTCTCTCTCGCTCTGTGTCTCTCTCTCTCTCTGTCTCTCTCGCTCTCGTCTCTCTCTCGCTGGTCTGCTGTCTCTGTCTCTCTCTCTCTTTGTTCCCTCCCAGGCTGTCTAGTGGCCTCCAGCCTCCAGGTGGCGCTGCATTCCCTGGCCTGTTGTCTTTCCCTGGCATGCCAGGCTTCTCCCCCTCTCCCAGCCAACTACACAACCCTGCCATGCAGTCAGCCCTGCTACAGGTCTACACACACAGCAAAGCACACGCAAAGCACACGCAAAACACGCAAAGCACACGCAAAACACACGCACACAAAACACACGCAAAACACACGCAAAGCACACGCAAAACACACACAAAACACACAGAAAGCAAATGTAGAGATGAGAACTCATGCCGTCCTGTGTTCCAGGCCCACTCTGCGTCTGTATTAGAGGGTTATACCACCTATCCCCCTGGACCTGGCAACCCATTCCCCTTACAACCTGGCAACCTACACCCCTCCCAGCTGGGTTGGCAGTGACTCTAACACTCGTACGCAAAACACACAATACCCTAAACACACACACACACACACACACACACACACACACACACACTTACACACGCTCTCACACTCAGTCAAAGTCGACTTGGGGTCAACTTGTATCCCCTCCACTCACTACAACCTGCCAAGACTGTTTACATCCTTTGTTTGGGCTTTTTTGACTCCGTCAATGAACTAAAAGAAGAGGAACTGGAGAGACTTCTAGTCAGAAACATCTGAGGACTGAATCGTTCGTGAGACAAACTTCACAACAGACAAATCATTTAATTGAAAAGGCGTTATTGAAAGCTTTGTTGTCACTGTAAACAGAGTGGACAACGGTTTACCAGAGGATGGTGACAGACGAACTTCCCCACAGACAGGAGAGGGGAAAAGGTCTATTCAGTCTGTCCACAAGCCAGCTCTCTGTGTCTGTCAAGACCAGGTCTATTGTAGATCTATTTGATGATCTGTCTCACTGAAGATCTATCTGATATTATATCTGTCTCACTGTAGATCTATCTGATATTCTATCTGTCTCACTGTAGATCTATCTGATATTCTATCTGTCTCACTGTAGATCTATCTGATGATCTGTCTCACTGAAGATCTATCTGATATTCTATCTGTCTCACTGTAGATCTATCTGATATTCTATCTGTCTCACTGTAGATCCATCTGATATTCTATCTGTCTCACTGTAGATCCATCTGATGATCTGTCTGTCTCACTGTAGATTTATCTGATGATCTGTCTCACTGTAGATCTATCTGATGATCTGTCTGTCTCACTGTAAACAGAGTGACAATGGTTTACGATTTCACAACTGCTGCTGCGTTTCATATGGTACCCTATTTTCTAGTGCACTATGGGCCCTGGTCAAAAGTAATCCGCTATATAGGGAATAGGGTACCGTTTGGGAATCAGTCTTGGTATTTAACAATGGGTACTCCAACATCATTATGTTTAGATGATCAGGTTACCAGGTGAAACACAGTTGCCCCGACAACTCAAACTGAACGCTCACTACATACCAGCGCTTCAGTCTCGAGACTGCCATCGTTTTAAGTAGTCTGTGCTGACAAAACATCATCAGCGATTTGGATCGTCTTTAACCAATCGAGAGTATCAAAGCCAATGACGCAGTTTCAAAACGCCGCTTTACCCAACGTGTGTTCTGGCTCTGGCACAACCCATCGGTTTCTAGACCAAGATCAGAACCATTCAAAATGTTTTTCCATTCTAGAACTGGTCGGAGATGGGGAGTAAGACCCAGACAATGAGACAACTGAAGTATGTGTGTTGCCTGGCTACTCAGACTCATTGTTCTACCAGTTCCGACCAGTTCTAGAATGGAAAAACATTTTTGAATTGTTCTGAATGTGTTCCAAATGGATTGATATAGCTATACACATACACTCACTGGACAGTTTATTAGGTACACCTATCTAGTACCGGGTCGGACCCCCCTTTGCCTCCAGAACAGCCTGAATGAGTTAAGAAAATATTTACAAAATAAACTAAAGTGATATTTCATTCATTTAAAAAGTGACACAATAAAATAACAATAACGAGGCTATATGCAGGTGTACCGGTATCGAGTCAATGTGTGGGGGTACAGGTTAGTCGAGGTAATATGTACATGTAGGTAGGGGTAAAGTGACTATAGATAGATAATAGACAGCGGGTAGCAGCAGTGTAAAAACAAATGGAGGGGGGGGGTGTCAATATAAATAGTCCGGGTGGCCATTTGATTAATTGTTCAGCAGTCTTATGGCTTGTGGGTAGAAGCTGTTAAGGAGCCTTTTGGTTCTAGACTTGGCACTCCGATACCGCTTGCCGTTTGGTAGCCGAGAGGACAGTCTGACAATTTTTTGGCCTTTCCTCTGACACCGCCTAGTATATAGGTCCTGGATGGCAGGAAGCTTTGCCCCAGTGATGTACTGGGCCGTACGCACTACCCTCTGTAGCACCTTACCTTACGGTCAGATTCCGAGCAGTTGCCATACCAGGCGGTGATGCAACCGGTCAGGATGCTCTCGATGGTGCAGCTGTAGAACTCTGGGGACCCATGCCAAATCTTTTCAGTCTCCTGAGGGGGAATAGGCTTTGTCTTCACGACTGTCTTGGTGTGTTTGGACCATGATAGTTTGTTGGTGATGTGGACACCAAGGAACTTGAAACTCTCTACCCGATCCACTACAGCCCCGTCGATGAGAATGGGGGCCTATTCGGCCCTCCTTTTTCTGTAGTCCACGATCATCTGTTTTGTCTTGCTCACATTGAGGGAGAGGTTGTTGTCCTGGCACCACACTGCTAGTTCTCTGACCTCCTCCCTATAGGCTGTCTCATCGTTGTCGGTGATCAGGCCTACCACTGTTGTGTCGTCGGCAAACTTAATGATGTGAGCCATGACCAGCCTTTCAAAGCACTTTGTGGCTACCGACGTGAGTGCTACAGGGCGGTATTCATTTAGGCAGGTTACCTTCGCTTCCTTGGGCACAGGGGCTATGGTGGTCTGCTTGAAACATGTAGGTATTACAGACTCGGTCAGGGACAGGTTGAAAATGTCAGTGAAGACACTTGCCAGTTGGTCCGCGCATGCTTTGAGTACACGTCCTGGTAATCCATCTGGCCCGCGGCTTTGTGAATGTTGACCTGTTTAAAGGTCTTGCTCACATCAGCTACGGAGAGCGTGATCACACTGTCATCCGGAACAGCTGGTGCTCTCATGCATGCTTCAGTGTTGCTTGCCTCGAAGCGAGCATAAAAGGCATTTAGCTCGTCTGGTAGGCTCGTGTCACTGGGCAGCTCGCGGCTGGGTTTCCCTTTGTAGTCCGTAATAGTTTTCAAGCCCTGCCACATCCGACGAGAGTCAGAGCCGGTGTAGTAGGATTCAATCCTAATCCTGTATTGACTCTTTTCCTGTTTGATGGTTCGTCGGAGGGCATAGCGGGATTTCTTATAAGCATCCGGATTAGTGTCCCGCTCCTTGAAAAGCGGCAGCTCTACCCTTTAGCTCTGTGCGGATGTTGCCTGTAATCCATGGCTTCTGGTTGGGGTATGTACGTACGGTCACTGTGGGGACGACGTCATTGATGCACTTATTGATGAAGCCAGTGACTGATGTGGTGTACTCCTCAATGCCATTGGATGAATCCCGGAACATATTCCAGTCTGCGTTAGCGAAACAGTCCTGTAGCGTAGCATCCGCGTCATCTGACCACTTCTGTATTGGGCGAGTCACTGGTACTTCCTGCTTTAGTTTTTTTTTTTTTCCCTTTGGTTGCACATGTGACATGCTGGTAGAAATTTAACTTTGCCTGCATTAAAGTCCGCGGCCACTAGGAGCGCCGCTTCTGGATGTTTATTTTGTTGTTTGCTCGTTGAGTGAGGTCTTAGTGCCAGCATCGGTTTGTGGTGGTAAATAGACAGCTACGAATAATATAGATGAAAACTCTCTTGGTAGATAGTGGGTCTACAGCTTATCATGAGGTACTCTACCTCAGGCGAGCAAAACCTCCAGACTTCTTTAATATTAGACATCGTGCACCAGCTGTTATTGACAAATAGACACACACCTCCGCCCCTCGTCTTACCAGACATACAGTGAGGGAATTAAGTATTTGATCCCCTGCTGATTTTGTACATTTGCCCACTGACAAAGACATGATCAGTCTATAAGTTTAATGGTAGGTTTATTTGAACAGTGAGAGACAGAATAACAACAAAGAAATCCAGAAAAACGCATGTCAAAAAATGTTATAAATAGATTTTCATTTTAATGAGGGAAATAAGTATTTGACCCCCTCTCAATCAGAAAGATTTCTGGCTCCCAGGTGTCTTTTATACAGGTAACGAGCTGAGATTAGGAGCACACTCTTAAAGGGAGTGCTCCTAATCTCAGTTTGTTTCCTGTATAAAAGACACCTGTCGACAGAAGCAATCAATCAATCAGATTTCAAACTCTCCACCATGGCCAAGACCAAAGAGCTCTCAAAGGATGTCATGGACAAGATTGTAGAACTACACAAGGCTGGAATGGGCTACAAGACCATCGCCAAGCAGCTTGGTGAGAAGGTGACAACAGTTGGTGCGATTATTCGCAAATGGAAGAAACACAAAATAACTGTCAATCTCCCTCGGCCTGGGTCTCCATGCAAGATCTCACCTCGTGGAGTTGCAATGATCATGAGAACGGTGAGGAATCAGCCCAGAACTACACGGGAGGATCTTGTCAATGATCTCAAGGCAGCTGGGACCATAGTCACCAAGAAAACAATTGGTAACACATTACGCCGTGAAGGACTGAAATCCTGCAGCGCCCGCAAGGTCCCCCTGCTCAAGAAAGCACATATACAGGCCTGTCTGAAGTTTGCCAATGAACATCTGAATGATTCAGAGGAGAACTGGGTGAAAGTGTTGTGGTCAGATGAGACCAAAATCGAGCTCTTTGGCATCAACTCAACTCGCCATGTTTGGAGGAGGAGGAATGCTGCCTATGACCCCAAGAACACCATCCCCACCGTCAAACATGGAGGTGGAAACATTATGCTTTGGGGGTGTTTTTCTGCTAAGGGGACAGGACAACTTCACCACATCAAAGGGACGATGGACGGGGCCATGTACCGTCAAATCTTGGGTGAGAACATCCTTCCCTCAGCCAGGGCATTGAAAATAGGTCGTGGATGGGTATTCCAGCATGACAATGACCCAAAACACATGGCCAAGGCAACAAAGGAGTGGCTCAAGAAGAAGCACATTAAGGTCCTGGAGTGGCCTAGCCAGTCTCCAGACCTTAATCCCATAGGAAATCTGTGGAGGGAGCTGAAGGTTCGAGTTGCCAAACGTCAGCCTCGAAACCTTAATGACTTGGAGAAGATCTGCAAAGAGGAATGGGACAAAATCCCTCCTGAGATGTGTGTAAACCTGGTGGCCAACTACAAGAAACATCTGACCTCTGTGATTTGCCAACAAGGGTTTTGCCACCAAGTACT